ATTCAAGGCACTTAATAATTCTACTATCATCATATTGTCTTTTTACATCTTTGTGATACACTATGACTTTCTTTTGTGATGATTTTGATACATGGGCACAAAGTATCACCAGTCTAATGTTTATAGAGACGCATGACAGATATTGCATTGTTAATAATTATTGTTTTATTCTAGAGTTTTTTTTCAGTTTTTTGCTACTCAGTTTCTCTTGTGTGTACAGTGAGTTGTCCTACAACAGTTTTACTGCTGCTGTTTACTGTTCTGTTCTATTTCCTCGAATCAAGAACGAGGCTTTTATTTACCTCAACTGCAGAAGGTAACAGGTCTTTATTTCCAGTTCCCTCTGTCTGATATGTTCAATTGGTTGGTATACAGACAGAAAATTAATATTAATAATATAAGCAACTATTTTGATAATTGTTTAATGGTTTTTTTTTGTTTTGTTTTTTTTATTTAAAGATAAAATACCAAAAATTAGCTGGTTCCAGATTTAATTGAATGCTTTTCTATCACTATGACTAGACTGGATATCTGAGTATCTGATACTGGACTTTGAGTACATAATAATAATAATAAAAATAATAATAATAATAATAATAATACATAATAACAACCAGTCTTTTCTGACACTTAATAGAGCAAACGATTAATCAGTTAATTGAGATACTAATGGGTAAATTATCTGATAATGAAATACAGCTGTAGTGTAGTGAGTGTTGGGCTGTGAGGTTTGGATGGTAGAGTGCTTTGTTTAATAATGTTTCTATTAGTTTACTGTTTTTGTGTTTTGATATCTTTTTATTTTATTTCACCTAATGAAATATATATTGTTTTCTTTTCTCATCTCATTATTGATGTATTATCCTCAATGCTTTAGCAGTATTTTACACCTGATATTCATGCCAATAAAGCTTACTGAGATACACTGAATTGTATTGACAGAGAGACCGAGAAAGATAGAGACAGGGACAGAAACAGAGACTGAGAGAGAGAGAGAGAGAGGGAGAGAGAGGGAGAGAGGTTTTTAAGGAAGGTACATTCAGGTCAATTCAATTCAAAGCCAATGTGACAAGCTAATTTTCCAGCCCGGTCATCTGAGGAGGAGAGAGGAGGTGGGGACAGAGTGAGGGGCTACACAAGGAGGGAAGTGTGTGCGCGCGTGTGTGTGTGTGTGTGTGTGTGTGTGTGTGTGTGTTTTAAGAAAGGAGATGTATCAAAGATAAGGGGACAGGACACACGCACCACACACACACATGAGCCCAAGTGCACACAGAGCTCTCTCTCTCTGTCTCTCCCCCTCCCTCTGTGTCTGTGCCTGCGTGTGTTTGTGTGTGGGGGCTTATTTTACTATATTCGTAGGGTCCGACAAATGGGGCCCCTCTGTACTTGTGGGGTCTGACAGCTTTGTGGGGACAAAAATGATGGACCCCACAAGTTTAAATTTTTAAATTTAGATCTGAGACAAGTTTAGATTTTGGGTTGGATTCACTCCTCCCAACAGTCGAGGGTGTGTTCCAGATTCAAGGCAGGAACTTTCCACAGGAACCAGGAACCTTTTGAGGAACTACGCGTGTTTCGACCGCAGGAACCAGGGTCTAAATTTAATTCCGGGGTAATTGATCAACCCCCAAAAAAGTCCCTGGTCGGGGGGTAGTACTCTCCAAAGGTTCAGGAACTTTGGGGGGTGTGGTCTGCAGTGCTGAATAAAACTTTATTTCCAGCTGACCTCTGTCTTGCGTAGCAAAATGTATTGCTATGCTGATTCCGTCCTCTCAGCCATGACCTCATCCACAGTTTTTTGTCTTGTATTTTGTTTTTCGGGGCAAAACATAACACACACAAATTCAACCAGCTGATGATGACTGGCGCTTCCATGTTTCATGCAAGTTTCTGTGAGATCCCAAGCCCCTGGAATTGCCGTTCTGAAATGGTTCAGTATAAACAAACAGAGAAATGTAAAAAAAAAAATACTATAGTTTTAGTAGCGTTCAGGTGCTGGAGCTGTTTCTCTGCTTTCAGTGTTTAAGCTAAATGAGGCTGAACACATCTCTCCCCTACACGCTGATTATAGTCCTCTTACAGGAGCATTCCACTTCAGTTGTTTGTTCATGTATCACACAAACGTATACCCATCCTTGTTTTACCATATTTGTGTATACTTGTGGGGACCTGTCGTTAGTATAGTATAGTATAGTTGTGTCCGGGTTTTCAGATCACACAAATATAATAAAAGAAGCTCTCACACACACACACACACACACACACACACACACACACACACACACACACACACACACACACACACACATTTGGCTACTTCCAACCCACGTCCTCTGTCTCTCCACGATGGACACATGATGGATGACCCTTGTCTTTACATGCTAATGCATCAAGAGCTCACAGAGCAGTTCTCTCTCTCTCTCTCTCTCTCTCTCTCTCTCTCTCTCTCTCTCTCTCTCTCTCTGTGTGTGTGAGAGAGAGATTTTTGGAATTAAGAACTGACTTGTCCGTTCAATATCCACTGTGTTCGTGTCTTCTAACGTAACAACATGCGTCTCCCTTTTTCTTTCTTTCTTCTTCTCTTTCTGTTTGTCTTTGAGCATCATCAGTAGAACAAAGGGGTAGTGGAAGAGAATAGTTAATTGATGGCCGGATGGCATTGTTCTGACGGATTATTTTGCTCATACGTTTCTTATATAAAAACCCCATATGAATGTTAATAAGGTCAAAAAAAAAACGTGGTGTGTTTTAGAAAGAAACATGATAGCTGAGCTTCACCTTGTGTTGTGTGTGTGTTCTGCTCCTGACAAACAGAAGCTGAAGATTATACTTGAGAAACCTGAGAAAACCTTCAGGAGTTTAGATTCTGTGTCAGCTCTGAATGAATTGTCTGACCATTACATAATGTTTTATTTCCAATAGCAACAATGAAGTGGCTTCTTCTCTACAGCAACATTGGGAGAGGCTCATGGGTAGTGTATTATTTAGAAGCAAACTGATGGACAGTGACATGATTTATCAGAGACAAAGCTGTATGCCTCGCAGCTTTGTGAAATAATCCAGAAGATTCCCGTGTTTCAGTGTCATTAAAACACAACTTGACACCAACATGAATATTAACCCCCTTTTACACTGGACAAAAAAAAAAACATGCCGACACCTGGCTTTTGTTGTCACTGTGAAAGGGTGCGGTCAGCATTCACTCCTGGGTCACGTGACTCTACAGTCGGGGGGTATGTATTGGCTCCAGTTCTGATCAGCAGATGACATGACACCCCGGGTGAACATGCTCATTTTCTGTGATGTTACATATTTCAGCGAGCAGCTCACTGTTTGAATCTGTTTGTGTTTGTGTGCATGCTCTGGAACTGCATGTGATGACGTTGCCCCCTTTGCAGTCCGCAAATCCTTTGCCCAGTTCTTTCTGATGGCCCAGAAATTTTTGTGGCAGAATTTTCAGTCGTGAACTTTATTTGTGGTGAAAGAACAGAGCAGCAAGACACAAAAGAGGACTTTTAGCTCTTGGCTTAGGCCCCATGTTTAGTTCCCATGGCCTTATAGTTCTTGGAAATATTCTGTCCATAAGGGCTAAATGCCAGTAGCCATTAACATCTTGTTAGACAGACAGAGAGACTGACTGACTGACTGACTGACTGATTGATGACCCCCCCCACCCCACCCCCTCCACAGACACGCGTGCACACACACGCGTGCGCACACACACCTCCCCTGATAAGAGAGAGTCAGACAGAGCAAAGATAATTGTTTCTGGATGTGTGAGTGTGTGAGAGATACAAGCCTGGTCACTTTGTTTAACTTGACAAGCATGATCCTCCACACTCACTTGTACAGATGAATCAGTGTCATTGCTGGACACGCTGTATTAACACACACATAGACACACACACGCACAGAGCAGCTACTCACCTCCAGAGGTGAGATATGATGTGACCACTCTATTTTACCCTGAGGTGTGTGTGTGTGTGTGTGTGTGTGTGTGTGTGTGTGTGTGTGTTCAGGAGGTGATGTGTTGGATGATGTTAGTATGAGACACAATGTCAAAGGAGTTCAAAGACCATATCAATGTATTTTAGCCTGTCGTAGCATACTTCCAGGCAGAATAGGACATTTTAATTTTGTAAATTTCAAATCTCAATGTCATAGCTGTCTGAAACTTCCTTCAGTTAAACATAAAACTGCATTATTAGATTTTTTTTAGCCTTTTAGGAACAATTTAACCTAATTCAACCAGCTTCATTGACTGTTTCCACCAGCACTGTGAATGTTTAATGACTGTGTACACAAAAGACATAAAAGTATTATTATAATTTGTGTGATATCAGCTCAGGGACACTGTGTTTGTCGAGACTTGTTGCTTAGATGAAGATCAGATCCCAGTTTGTGACCCGTCAATGCATAAAACCAGGTCATTCAAAGGGATTCACTGACTTTTTATTCCCACTGTACACATTCCACCAAACTCCTCTCTCTCTCTCTCTCTCTCTGTTTCTCCCTCTCTCTGTCTCTCTCTCTCTCTCTGACTCCCTCCTGCTTAAGCTGAGGGCAGTTTGTAAATGGCTGTGTTAGGTGGCTGTGGCTTTAAATGGAGAAACCGGTGCCATCGGTGGACACACACACACGCATACACACACACACACACCCTGTTTCAGGCCCAAATTGATGAGGCAGATTTATGACGGCTGCTGGCCACAACAAATTAAGTTGACAGTGATGTATGGGGGGGTGGCGAGTGTCACACTGCACTAACGGACCACACACACACACACACACACACACACACACACACACACACACACACACACACATGCCCCAGTAGTGGCCCCCTACTCCCAGACCTTCTTGTTAGGCGTCCCTGTCAGCCCCCAAACCCCCCCCCCCAGCATGCCTGCATAATAAAATTCCTCACACTGGTGTTCCTCACTTGGTGTTTTTTTTCTTTCTCTCTCTCTCTTTCCTCACATCCACCTTCTTCCCTCCAGACTCATCCTGCCGCCAGCAAACTGGCCCTGAAGGACAGCTTCACATTTGATGACTACAGGTCAGTGTGGGAGGGTGAGGGATGTCCTCGGCCTCTTTTCAGACTCCTCACATCTTCTGCTTGTTTATATGTGTTGTGCATGTGAAGTGGAACAAATGCTAAAGAATCGCCTTGGTTCATATTTTTACAGTTTTGTGCATCTTTCCCATTAGTAATGATGTACACTGCAAACTGTGACAATGTCTGAAAGGAATCTGATGGGGCCAGTCAGACACCACTGACACAGTCCAAATTAAAGCTTTAATTTACTCACATCTTAATGTGACTAAATCACTTAGACTTGAGTATTACTACATGTAAAGCTGGATCTGGATCTGTACATTAAGGTGTAGCTTCAGGCTAAAGATGTTACAGCAGCTACAGGTTTATTGTGTTTCTGACAGAGGGTTTCTGGTGGACATTGTTGAGACATGAGACAACTTTAAAGGTTCTGTAAATGATCGTCACTGCCACTAGATGTCGCACTAAACCACGAGCATCTCAGACCAAAACAAATGCTTCGTCAGCCACACCTTCACGCTCTGTCAGTAATTTGCTACAGAGCCCAGTAAAATCGTCCACTAAACACACAACAAGAAGCTCAACTGAATAAAGTTTCCCTGTAAACATGAGAGCCAACAAAAACAATCTAACCACAAGCATTATCCCCATGCTAGCATTGCCATCATATGCTTCATGGTAATAAGTAAGCCAGCTAGTGATAACAACATTTGCCAAACAAATTGATAATATTGGTAACAGCAAGTTAGCAAATGTTATCATGACTACAGCCGTCACTAATGAAAACGGACATGTAACATTATGAACCATCAAGTTACTGACACATGGAGGAAAAGAAAAACCAGTTCTGAGTAAAGCTGGACCCTGTAGCAGCTCGTAGGGTTCTCCTCTCAGTAAACCAGACCAGTATTGGCTCCATGGTTGGACTGGGAAACAAATTCAACCTTGGACTTATTCACTGGGACTGTCCACACAAATGATACTGCTGAAGCCGATAACGACACTGAAGGAGCCAGTAAACACTTGAAAAACTTTATGGATGTTTTGACAGTCCACTGGCCAACCAGAATTTGAGCCAGTAGTCCTCATGTCCAGTCCACCTGTGCTCTGGTCCGATGTCTTTCTTTGTCTGAGGCCTTTTTAGATGAAAACGTTGTTTCTTCTTCAGTGGAGGAAATTCTTGCAGGTCACTTTCACCTGAACGTTGCATACTGCACTTTGACATCTCACCTGTGGGCATAGCCTGTGTGTTCATAAACATAGGGAGGACCGTCAGTTTAACAACTGGAACACATGCACTAACATGCACACGTACGTGCACTCACCTGCAGACGCTACCAGAAGAACAGAGAAACTTGGATTACAACACACACAGAGGGGGTGTGGCTTCATTTTCTGCTCAGGACTCCATTACACTATATCTTTACATAGAAAAAAGCTGTTTGCTACTGTATTATTGTTTAAAATCTGGTTTGCAGAACACACATGCAGCAGAGACATGTCCACAGCAAACCCTCTGCACCACATCCACCAGTCTATCACAGTCAATGGCCACTGTACAGAAAGTGTCATACTCAGTAATGAGACATGGTGACACACCGAGTGTAGCTCACACTCACTCTGTATCACAAAGTAAATAAAGACTAGCACAGTTACTGTGGGAATATCATTACAGCAGCACACAGCCTGATCATGTCTGATACAGGCTTCTCCCTCCTCTCTCTCCCTCCATTTTTATCTCCTCTATTCTCCCTCCTCTCTCCATTATTACCTTCTCTATCCTCCCTCCTCTGTCCATCTTTATCTCCTCTCTCTCCCTCTCTATTTTTATCTCCTCTACTCTCCCTCCTCTCCATCTTTACCTCCTCTTTTCTCCCTCCTCTCTCCATCTTTACCTTCCCTGTTCTCTCTCCTCTCTCCATATTTACCTTCTCTGTTCTCCCCTCCGCTCTTCATCTTTATCTCCCTCTCTCTCTATCTTTATCTCCCTCTCTCTCCCTCTCTCTCTCCCTCCTCATCTGATACAACTTTCTCTACATATTGATACCAGTGTTGAATTGATGAACTTCCCTCTCCTGCTGTTGACCAGGATCATATGATCCCTGTCAGGAGAGTAAATGAACACCACTGTACTGAGCAGTGGTTGTTTCATGTGTGTGACAGGTGGGCAGTGTCCTCGGTGATGACCCGTCAGAACCAGATCCCTACTGAGGACGGCAGCCGGGTCACTCTGGCCCTCATCCCCCTGTGGGACATGTGTAACCACACTAATGTACTGGTAAAGTCTTGGACACACACACACACACATACACACACACACTCACACACATTATTTTACACTGAAAACTCTGGATATTTTGTTATGATAAAATGTCATGTTCTAGTAACATATGGTTTCAATATCATGAGGAGGTTGTTCTTCTTCTGAACATTAAAACTGGGACAGGTTGGATTAGTAAAGGTGATTGTTTTTCTGCAGATCACCACCGGCTACAACCTGGAGGATGATCGCTGTGAATGTGTGGCGCTGCAGGACTACAAGGAGAACGAACAGGTTACTACTGCTTTATTGTCTGTGTTGCTTCTCTTTGTTTACACACACAGCTCTAACACGTCTGCAGTTAAGTACAAGAAGGACAGAGCCAGGTAAAAGTATCTTGCTGGAGAAGATTCAGAGGGATGGAGAGAGAGTTTCCCTTCTCTCACATTACACACTTTAAAGTGACTTTGATGCTCCATTAGTTTGGATGTTTTACCATGTTGCAGTTTGCTACAAAGATTGTTTAGGATCAGAAATCACAGGTTTCAGTGATGTTGATGACTGATTGTCTGTTATAACTGTCCATAGAAATTATATAGAGATGATGCTCCCAGTACAATTTTTTTTAATACCTTTTTGTCCTAGTTTTTATATGTACAAAATACAGAAAATATGTAGAGAAGGACAAAAAAAGAAATGGAAAAAATATATAATTTATACAGAACATCAACAGCACAAACAAACAAATGAAATAAATAAAGAAGAAAAAAACTGCTCACACACACATACAGCAGTATCCACAACCAGGTTCCACAGACAACATTTTCAGCATTTTTGTCAAGCTCCCAGTACTAATAACATTAGACCTTGCCTGATAATCATCACATGTAGACTTCAGTATCAAAGTACTGCAGGTGATTGTTGCCTCTGTGGTTACAGTCCAAAAAAGATCTAATAGATAAGAGCTAATAGTTAATGCAGCATGACTTTCCAGGGTTCACAGTTGGCAGGATTTAAGTAAATATAGGCTTAAAAAAGGGGTCACAGCCCATCAACATGTTTGGTATTTTTTTATGTGGGAATGAATTGTCTCAGTCCTTTTATGGGCTGCCTGTCTTTATGTGTCTTTATGATTTTATTATGTCCTTCCTGTAGATCTACATCTTCTATGGCACAAGATCCAATGCTGAGTTCGTCATCCACAACGGTTTCTTCTTCCAGGACAACGCCCACGACAGAGTCAAGATCAAGCTAGGTGTCAGCAAGAGCGAACGCCTCTATGCCATGAAGGCCGAAGTGTTGGCACGAGCCGGCATCCCAGCGTGCGTCCAACCTGCTCTTTATGTCACTGTTTATTAGCTTTTTGTTTGGAGTGGAAGGACAAACGTCCCTCTTCTTATCTACAAACACAGTGTCTGCTCTCATGAAGGACTGAATCTGCAAACCTGAGCCTTTTACTCTGAAGTCTTTAATATGGGTCAAGGGGAGCTCCAGGCTCGTGACTAACTCCATGTACCCTTCATAAAGCCACGGCGCACTTTGTCTTCCAACAGTAGATTTTTCAACCAATTAGGCTCCCCTTTGGCATAATTGAAACACATAATATAAATGTTGCAGCAGGTCTCTTTTTTTCATCCCTCCCCACCAAGTATCAATTTACCATCAGCCCCAACACTTTCATCACCAAGAAGCTCAATCATTTTATCATTAGCCTCTTAATTTTATGCAGCATTCTCTGCTCGGCATTTTTAATCAGACGCCTTTTAATCTCTTATTGATGACAGTCTAAATCTCAACAGTGGAAATTAAATGAAACAATCCCCGTTGTTGCTGGGGCGCTCTATTAAATTGACAGATATGCTTGTAGATCATTTTCAAAGGAAACAGCTCTGCGCTCGGTGTCAGGGCCGCACTGAGATGTCGAGCGGCTGCTATCATCACACTCCTCACTCCTTCTGCCTCCACTGCATTTCTTTCTGATAAGTAGGAATAAATGAGCACTTTTTGACTGTTCATTTACAAGATGTAATAAGTTCATGTTTTATCCAGTACATCTACAATGACCTTTTAAACACACAATACAACCTCTGGTACAAAGAGTTAACCTCCCTGAGCTGGCTGCTCCGCTGGAGGAATGGACAGAGGGGTAATCTGATAGGAAGAGTGGAGAGGCGGCTGTAATGTGTTTGTGTGGTGTAATAACGTCGACCCTGTGCTACCCATCACCACATCGATCACTTTGCTCAAGCAGGAGGAAAAATTGTCCTCTCTAAAATTAGCTCAGTGTGTAATGGGATGATGTGGAGTCCAGGATCACACTTGTTCTTCAAGCTGCTAGACTAATATTATTTTCAGTGAGAAAGCAGAGAGGCCAGGATTCAATCTGATGCGTCCTCACTCTTACATTTTAGACTCTGTTACAAAATAAAACTTATTTGTGTGTGAAATCTCAAAATTTCACATTTATTGTTTTTTTTTTTTTTTCTTTTTTTGGCTGGAGCGCAACAGTAAGACCAGCCCTATAATCTCGGAAGTTGGTGACTGACTGAGTGATGATATTTCCACCACTGGTCAGTGGAGTGCTGAGCAGCAGTCTACTGAACCGCTCTGGTTTTCCGGCTGCTCGGGAACTGCAGGGAAGAGGAGGAGCGCTTCTAATACACTGAGCCTCGCCTCCATTATAGCAAATAAACTACTTTAATTCCATGTATCATTATTACTAAGGGAGGCAGAGGAATAACTAAACATAAGACATACTGAGCAGAGAGAGCAGGAGAGAGGGAGGGAGAGAGAGAAGTCATCGGTAACGAGGCTTCGTACTAACGACTATGATCAACTCTACATATCAAACAGGGAGTTAGACATAAAGACCTGCCTCTAATAAAACTCTGTTTACGTTATGGAGTTGAAGTAAATAAAGACTAAACTATTGTGGTGTGATAATTTCACAGTAAATGCAGCTGACATCACAGCTCATTCTTTGTCTTTGATTTATGTGCTGGTGATTTTGTCAGACGACATCGTGGTTATAGAATTAAGGTTTGACCATAGGTGGTCCAGACATATACTAGATTTAGATTTACTTTTTATTTGATAGTAATTACAGCCCCACCCTGCGTCCCTGCAGCCTAGAGTTAAGAAACAAACAACCAAATAACATCATCAACATCAACAAAAATAAAAAAAGCTAAATGAATATTAGGGAATGTCATATACAGATTTTATTCTATCTCACATCAAACAAAGGAGCGAAACTCCTCATCACTGTCCTTTCATTTACTTACGTGTGCTGTCATGTTGTAGTTGTAGCGCTTACTGGATTGTAAGGAGGTTCTGATAAGTGTTTGACCTGAAATACAGGATCCATAGTTTGACTACGCCCCCATACACAGCACTGCTCATATTATTTGTTTCCTCTGTGGCTTAATTATACAGACTCATGAAGAATATACAGAGAAGACCTGAGGTGGTCTCACTGTTAGAAAGTGGTTCTGTCAGTTCAGACTGTCGAGGTGTTTATTGTGCATATGTTCAAGTATTTAATTTCTCCTCTTGTTTTCTGAATGGGTTTATTTACATGTGTATGCTGTTGTGTTTTCAGGTCCTGTGTCTTTGCTTTGCATTGTAATGAACCCCCCATTTCAGCCCAGCTCTTGGCCTTCCTCAGAGTCTTCTGCATGACAGAGGGTAAGACACACACACACACACACACACACAGTCGGATATCAGCAGTAGGACTTTCCCTGTGGAACCTCTAAGCCACAAACCTGCTAACGTACTCTAAAACAAAGCATGCCACAGTTTGTGACGCTCCTCTGGGGCCGTTGTCAAGTGACTGCTTCCTCTGCACACAGCAGAGGCAAAGAGACAGAGAGAGAGGAGGAGGAGGTAGAGGGGAAGGAGAGGGGAAGAGCAGGACCTGTCCATTCCCAAGCTGCTTAATTGATCAAGGCAGGCCACCAGATGTGTGGAAGTAGAAATCCACTGGGGCTTTGCAATATTCATCGGCATATATGCAGAACGGTGCCAGTGTCATAAATCCCCAACCACACAAGGCCACATCCTCCTCTGTCACAGGACTCATCTTCACGACCCTGCTTGATATATTATTCACTTTTTCTGCTGCATGTTAATCTTTAAAATGGCCCCAACGCCTGTGTGTGTGTGTGTGGGGTGGGGTGAGGGTGGTATCATCTCTTGCACGTGTGTGTATGTGTGTCAACATTTCATAACAGATGTGACATGATGGAATGGTGTGCACACACACCGGGGCGCTGCACTTCTCCTCTTTCATCTTCCCATGTAAGCAAGCTCAGATCAGAGGCAGGAGGATAAAGATCGGCTCTGACTTCTTTACAAGTTGTGACCAAAACTCTGTTCATGATTCATGCGGACAGTGAGGAAGGTCAGACTGACTGGTTTAGCACTCTGTGACTTCCTGATGTCTTCTGTGCCGTCAAAGAGAAGATTGTTAGTTTCATCTCTGTGTGTCCAAAAGAAAAGATCATTTATCACTTACAGTACATTTACACTACAGAGGCTAAATCCCCGCTATTACATCTTAGTTTTAAAACACATCTCTTGTACTGTGTTTCCTCCTGCCGTCCACACAACTCCTAAAACAGAGACTTACAGAAACTCTGCTGGACCTGTTTTATTTTGAAAACTCTGGGGTTGTGTTTTATTATGAAAACTTTGGGGTTGTGTTGTAGTCTGGATGGACAGAAACTGAGACCTTTGGAAAAGATGACGTAGACACGGTCACACCTGATTGGGTCTCATCAGCCTCTGAGCAACTGTCTTTGCTGTTCCTCGTTCCTCGAGTATTTTGTGCAACTAATCAACTGCAGAGTAGACCAGTGTGGGCTGGTGCTATGTTATGCTGTATATAACCGCTCAAAAAAAAATGAGGGGAACACTTGATCATCACAGTATAACATCAAGTCAGTGAAACTTCAGGGAAATCAATTTGTCCATTAGGAAGCACAAGTGATTGTGAATCAATTGCACTTGCTTTGGTGCAAATGAAAGTGACAACAGGTGCAATGGAGTGGCAAAAGCAAGACAACCCCCAAAAAGGGAATGGTTTGGACTGGCCGTTACACGAGGAGATCTGGACAGGGCCATAGAAGGGCATCAACCCAGCAGCAGGACCGGTACCTGCTCCTTTGTGCGAGGAGGAACAGGAGGATCACTGCCAGAGCCCTACAACATGACCTCCAGCAGGATACTGGTGTGCATGTTTCTGACCAAACTGTCAGAAACAGACTCCATGAGGGTGGCATGAGGGCCAGACGTCCTCTAGTGGGACCTCTCACAGCCCAGCACCGTGCAGCTCGACTGGAATTCACCAGAGAACACCAGAAGTGGCAGGTCTGCCATTGGCGCCCCGTTCTCTTCACAGATGAGAGCAGGTTCACCCTGAGCACATGTGACAGGCGGGAAAGAATTTGGAGATGCCATGGTGAATGTTATGCTGCCTGTAACATCATCCAGCATGACTGGTTTGGCGGTGGGTCAGTGATGGTCTGGGGAGGCATATTCTTGGAGGGTCGCACAGACCTCCATGTCATAGCCAATGGCACCCTGACTGCTGTTAAGTAATGGGATGAAATCCTCAGAGTGATTGTCAGACCTTACAGTGCAGTGGGCCCTGGGTTCCTCCTGGTGCAGGACAATGCCCGGCAATCATGTGTGTAGATAGTTCCTGGATGATGAAGGCAATGATGCCTTTGACTGGCCCTCATGTTCTCCTGACCTAAATCCAATTGAGCCCCTATGGGACGTTGTGTATCGGTGCATACGATGCCAGCAAGTACAGCCACAGATTGTTCAGGAGATCCCCCAGGACACCATCCACCGACTCATCAGGAACATGCCCAGACATTATTGGGAGTGTATACAGGCAAACAGGGCCATACACACTACGAAGTCACATTATGAGTTGCCGTCATGAAAGTTGGATCAGCCTGTGATTTCAATTTGCAATTGTGATTCCAGCTCTCAATGAGTTGATGATTTTGGTTTCCATTGATCGTTATTACATCATTTTGTTCTCAACAAATTATATCATTGTACAAGATTTTCACCTTGAATCATTTGTTCATCAAGATCTGATGTGTGACTTAAGTGTTCCCTTAATTTTTTTGAGCAGTGTTTATGCCATCAGGGAATACCATTTCCATGAAGGAGAGTACTTGGTCTGTAACAGTGTTTAGGTAGGTGGTACGTGTCAAAGTAACATCCACATGAATGGCACGACCCAGTGTTTCCCAGCAGAACATTGCCCAAAGCATCAAACTGCCTCTGCGGGCTTGTCATCTTCCCATAGTGCATCCTTGTGCGAACAGTTCCCCAGGTTAGCGACGCACATGCATGCAGCCTTCCACATGATGTAAAAGAAAACGTGATCCATCAGACCAGGCCCACCTTCTTCCATTGGTCTGTGGTCCAGTTCTGATGCTCATGTGCACATTGTAGGCGCTGTTGGTGGTGGATAGGGGTCAGCATAGGCCCTTTGACAGGTCTGTGGCTACGCAGCCCCACACTCAGAAAGCTGCAATGCACTGTCTGTTGTGACACCTTTCTATCAGAAGCAGCATTAACTTTTTCAGCAATTTGTGCTACAGTAGCTCTTCTGTGAGCTCGGACAACACGGGCAAACCCGCCCAAGGCATATCAATGAGCCTCGGGCACCCATGACCCTGTTGTCCTTCCTTAGTCCACTTTAACCACTGCACACTGGGAACACTCAACAAGACCTGCAGTTTTAGAGATGCTCTGACCCAGTTGTCCAGCCATCACAATGTGGCCCCTTTTTTTGTTGGGGCTTGTTCCAAACAAACATGTTCCTTTACATCTGGAGAATATAATTTGTAGGTCGGAGCGTCTCTGTAGCACCACAACGCTTATGGATGCTAACAATGTACAACAATGTTGTGAGACATTTTACCTTTATCAAAAAAAATTGCAGCTCCTGCGATGTGCATATTGCACTTAGCCATGTTGTGATTTCGAGTATATTTCGATGATGATTTTTAAAAACATTGTTTTTTCAGTGTTTTTTTTTCTCATGTTAAGGCTTATTACTGTGATAAACCAGTGATAGGAACTTTTATGTTGATGCTGGACCACATCAAATACTTGTCACTTGCTATCTCAGTCTGATTAAAAGATCATATCATATCCATGGTAAAAAACTGTAGAATCAGAATGGATAGCTAGTTAGCAACAAGAAAGAAATTAAAAGGAAAGAGTCAAGAGACAGTTGGTGAATGGACAAGTCAGACAACAAAGAAACACTGAGTTTCCTCTGATTTCAGTTCAGTCCTGAATGTTTGATCCTCATCATTAAAATAAAAAGTGCTCTGAGAAGACAGTATTTGACCTCCGTATTGTTACAGGGTTGGATGTGGGCCGCCAACATTTCTGAGATTTTCAAGTGGACCATGAGTTGGAAAAGGTTGGGAACAACCAGACTAGACAATCTGCTTCTTGTTTACACCGGCTCACACATTCCCAGTGTACCTCAGTATGGTCAGTGGTCATGTGATATCCATTTTCAGGTGTGTTACTATGGACACAGATTATTTGTGATACGGAGCTAAAATGTTTTTCTTTTAAAATGAAAACATAATAGTGTGAATATAGCTTGAATGTGTTCCTTATATCTAAATCCTTTCAAATCCCTTCATTAAATATAAATAGGTTTAACTTTTAACTAAACTAAAGTTATAAGTAAGAGAAACTGAAAGAAACACTACAGTAACCGATTCATTGTTCACTAAAAATTAGATGAATGCAGCATAATGAAATGCTGAATACATGTGTCTGACACAATGAAATGACCGGTGTGAGCTACTTTATCCATAGATTTCAGGGGTGGTCCTGGTTCAGAGTTATGATGTCAATATTATTCAGTGTAGATGCAGATCCACTTCCAGTGTTCCTCAGTATTTATGCTCATATTTAACATATTGGATAATCTTTTCTTTTAAACAAAGCGGGAAAGATTAAAGATTTGATACATCTGTTAGACTACGTCCACACTACTACATTTTCATTCTAAAACAGTGTTGTCAAACAAAAATTATCTCTGTCCAGACTAACACACCTGAAAACACATATCACATGACCATTCACGTACACTGAGCATGTGCGAGCTGGTGTAAACAGGAAGCAGATTGTCTACTCTGAAGTTGTTAAGTCACACAAAATACACTGAACGAGGAACAACAAAGACAGTTGTAGCATTAAAATACAGACTGTAACTGAACAACAGCTGCTGGCAAAGACAACAAGGTCAGTAACACTGTAATTCATTATCATGTTGTATTCGCCACTGGTAGTCGAGGCTGATGAGAGCTAATCACGAGTGACCATGGGTGTCTACGTCATCGTTTCCGAAAGTCTCTGTTTTCAGTGCTCAAAAGCGAGCAGTGTGGACATCAGGAGTATACGTAGCAAGAGTGGTGTTTCAAAACGAAAACATAGTACTGTGGACTTAGTGGCAGAGTTTAGCAGTTCTGGGTTTTTCGCCAACTAAGAATCACATACAAAATGGAAGCACCCATCTGTTCCCAACCCTAGATACAACATCAACCTGAGTGTAGTCAGGCACAGGGGAACTAACAGCCCATCCAACAACTCCAAAACAATTCACTGGAAGATCCTAGACCCCTCTGTTGGTCTCTGACACACTGAGAAAACATCAGTCTGGTCTCATCATCTCATCTGAATCAGGGTCCATTTGGTTCAAAGAAACCAAGACCCAGCACCTGAGTCAGGTGGGGACCAAATGATTTCTAAGTGGGTCAGGATGAGGTCTAATATGTTTAATACCCAGGTGGACCCGAGCAGACTTTCTACCAGCTCTGATCACTTGGTTGGACATCATCACAGGAGAGTGGGAGAAGAAACGACTGCATTGATTCTTCTTATCCCTGGCTTCTGGTTGACAGGGGAGTATCGTCATGCTGTCAGTGCTGGTGGTCTCTCTCTACCTGGATCTGTTCAGAGCTCTTCTGACGACAGATCGAGTTCATTCTGTTAAAAAGTAAATGTATGCATGCTGGGTTTGGGTTTCCATGCATCTGTTTGGGATCAGGTGCAGAGCGCTGGACCCATGAAGACCTCCACACGAAACCCAATGTCAATGGGAAGATGAAAGCCTTACCATAAAATCACTGTCTTACAAGCCCAGTACCTGTTGTGGTCCACTTCCATGTCACATGTTTCCCAAACTCCTCTTGCAGCTGGTCTTTGGTTACTTTTGAAGAGATGCTAACATTTATCTTAATTTCAGAGGAACTGAAGGACTACCTGCTTGGAGATCGTGCCATTAATAAGATCTTCACCCTGGGCAACAGTGAGTTCCCCGTCAGCTGGGACAATGAGATCAAGTTGTGGACTTTCCTGGAGACCCGAGCTGCTCTGTTGCTCAAGACCTACAAGACCACATCAGAGGTCAGTCGACTGGAGCCAAAGTTATGTTGGAAGTTGTGATCTGAGGTTTCTGACTGCAGATCAATTTGACGGTTTTAAGGGTTCTGTAAGTTTGTATGAAGAGTACGAACACCCTCTGAAAGGCCACAATCCAAGACATGATTGTCAGCTTGTTGAGTCTAGAAAGTTTAAAAAACATATATGATGCATTCCCCCCTCAGGTCCCCAATCTGTTTGAAGATCCAACAAGAACTTTTCAGAATCAAATGTGTGAAACTGAATTAGCACCACCTCTGTTTTGCTGCCTTCTTATAACCTTTTGTCACCTTTCTCTCCTCTTTTCTTCGCCCCTGATCTCCTGGCGTGGTCTCTTGCAGGAGGACCGTTCCATGCTGGAGAAACCTGATCTCTCTGTGCACTCTCGTGTGGCCATCCAGCTCCGCCTGGCTGAGAAGCAGATCCTGGAGAAGGCGTCAGCCAGTGGACGGGCCAAACGTCTGCATTTCCAGAAGAAGCTGGAGGAGGGCGCGTCGTTGCCTCGCTATGAGGAAAGTGATATCGCTTTGCTGGAGAATACTGACGCAGATGCAAAGCTTCCCATTATCCTGCACAAGCTGGAGGAGGTGGAGGAAGGCCAGGAGATCCAGGTGGAGGAGCACAGTCACCTTCTGAACGGGGAGAAGGTCGTGTACGGGATGGAGGCTAATGGAGAGCCAGTGCAGGTGGAGACCAAGGCGAAGGTCAGCAAAGATGTTCAATCAGCTTTGGACTCGAATGGAAGTTCAACCCAGAAAGGCCAAAGAGACGTGGCCGAGCGAACTGAGGAGAATCCCAAAGAGAATGGTGAATAAATATATTCCAAGTGCAGCCACAGCCCATGCTATTTATTTATTTTTGTGTCTCTTAAATGACTCAGAAATATAGAAGCAGAAAAAAAAGAAAATAGAAAGTTGCAGAACTTTTTGAACTGTGTGGTCATCCAGCGTGGCTTTTAGTTGTCTGCTGCTGAACTTAAATACTGCAAGTGTGTCCCTCAGCCTTTTGTGCAGAACAGGTTCATATTAATATTAGCTTTTGTTTCAGTTTGAAATGTAGGTTTCTCTTCAAAGTGTTTGTGGCCTACAACTTAGGGAGAGCAGGAGTGGGAGGGGTGCAGAACAAGTCCCAGCAGAGAGTTAGAAGTTGAAGAGAAGAAAAACCAAAATGGAGTTAGGTGAATGTTATTTCCATGAAGCCAAAACCTCTGGAATCCTGTGATCAGTTGGTTTATTGCTGCAGTTGATTTTATGTGTGTCCAGTATGTTTTGAGTTGACAATCTTATTGTATTCTAGTATTTTGGGTTGTGCTGCTGAGTTAAGACCATCACGGACCTCTGTTCCCTTTTTTCTGCTTCAAGCTGAATAACTGAAGGAAACAAAAACTGCTCTCATAGCCTCTGAGACTAACACTTTGTTTTTGACAGGCCAAAATGGAAGATGCTTTTTTGCTTTCTCAGTGACACGTTTGATCTCTACTGTCAAATTGCACATTTTCAGTCATTACGTAGCTGCAGCCCTTCACAAACAAAATCATTTTGTTTCCTTTTGTGTTCTAAAAGTATCTTTATGAATGTAGTGAGTTCATGTTAGAGGGAGTGTCTGTGGACATCACTTAAAGGGACTGATGTGTGGCTCAGCAGCCAATGCTGTCGCCCCTGACAAAGACAGGGACTTGGTGAGACACAGTGAGGTGTATTTTTGTTTGACCGCCTTAAAACGAATTTCAAGATGACACTTTTTGTATGAAAAAAAGGAAGCACTGTCAGGAGGTTGTTACTGTCTTTTGGTTGGTGTTAACTGCAGAGGTGGCCTCAGTAACTCTTGACTGTGCAATGATTCAAAGACCCACAGTGGAGCTACTTTGTGCTTCAACACAGGAACACAGTTTGTATGTTTTTGACTAAATATTCACAACACATCACAACACCTGCCTACTGGTTTATTTCTGAACTTTCCATCACATTTCATCTTCATCAGAATATGTAGTGGTTGGCTCAAGTGTCATCATGTGACCCGAGTATGGAACCTGGTCAGGTGATAACAAGTGGTAATATATGGGGCTGCCTCCTAAAAGCTGATCATTGAAGTATCAGTGGTTACTCCTCGAGTCGACTCACGTTGTGTCAGTGGAATCACGGAGACAGAGTGACCGGTTTCAGCTGGTTCTGGTCTTTGTTCAGACATGCTCAGCTGAAACTTAATGAAACTAAGGAACCCACTTTTAAACCACACACGTCTTGACTTCCCGACGTATTTGACATTAGATGTTACGGTGGCCGACAAGGGCAAACATGCTGCCAAGGCCCAAAACACTTCCATTAGGAGAAACAAGCTGCAAATACAGAAACGATGCAGATTCAAAAACACGTGAAAATACAAAACAAATACAAGAACAGAAACATGCTGAAAATGAAAAAACGTGCTGCAGGAGGGCAAAACAAATACATGAACAGCAAACATGCTGCAAATACAGAAACGATGCAACAACACAAACATATGAACCTCCAAAACAAATACAACAGGAAAAAAGACAACACAACAGAAGTGCTCCAGGCCTCTAGGGGGAGCGCTACGTGGAAAACCCATGGACTGTGTATAAGCTAACGCTAACACTTGCTATGTTTTCTGTTGCTCTTTTATAATATTGTAAAAACTATGGCCAAATGTAAAAAAGAACACAAACCTTTTGAAGTCATCTCATCTGTCTTCCCTCATATTTTCTTGCTTGGTCAAAGGTAAAAGGTCCAGTCGTAGGTCTGGCCTCTCAGTCGAAGCTCAAGTTCAGGCTCAAGGTGTTCCACTGAGAGCTCCCCCTAGAGGCCTGGAGCTCTTCTGTTGTGAATATACAGTGGTTTTTCTGTTTCTGAGTTTTGTATTGTTTCTGTATTTGCAGCGTGTTTGCTGTTCATGTATTTGTTTTGTCTCCCTGCAGCACATTGTCTCATTTGTAGCATGTTTCCGTTGTTGTATTGGTTTTTTATTTTCGTATGTGTTTTTGAATCTGCATCTTTCTGAATTTGCAGCTCTTTTCTCCTAATGGAGGTGTTTTGGACCGTTGCAGTGCGTTAGCCTTTGTCAGCCACTGTAAGATCTCCTTTCCAGACGTCCCCTGACCCCGTGACTTTGACCCTGTCCTAGTCCTCTAACCAATCAGGATTAAGGGTTAAAGGTCATGGAGCGGGATAAGTGGACAACCATCTCTGAACAGAGGCCAACCATATGACTGCGTGTTAGCATGTGACCCAAGTTCCATATTTACTGTAGGTCACATGATGATGTCTAAACTTACCCTAGGAAAACTGAGCAAAGTGCTGATGAAGACCTTGAGGTGTGGTTGAAAGTCGCGGGAGTGTACCTAAGTGTAAACTACTGTTCCCAAAAGAATGGACTGTCCCAGTTCCTAGAGTTCTAATGTTCCACTGTAGGTCACACACAGGTGAGTGATAAGCAGGTCTGGACCGTCATCTTTTCTTGTTCCTATGAAAATAAAAGACCTGCTGCTCATATTTTCTCAGTGTGGTGTCTCTAACAAGAAGGTTTCTATTACACTAAAAATGAAACATGCACTAAACTCCTGTACCGTATAGATCTAAACTGGTACAACCTCATCTTTAACTGAATCATATACTGTAACATTACATTGTTCAGACTGAACTGACAGATTTCAGTGGCCATTGCTTCACAAAGTTTTCTGATTCCACCAATCAGAAACAACCTGTAATGACACTGCACACACACACACACACACACACACACACACACACACACACGCGCGCACACGTCCTGTTAAGTTGCAGCCGTTCGCATTTTTGCTTGATCTTGTTTGTGCACACGTCACAAATGAACGGAGCTTGTTTGAAACCTTCTTGTTCATGTCACTTCCTATGCTTCATACACTGAACAAGAATAAATAAGCCTGTATCAGAGTTTGTTAAATGTATCTTTAATTGCACCAAAATGATGATTTTAAAACATGAAGTCATGCTGAGTCGTCACAGTTCTCCTCAACAGCTGAAGGCACTGCACCTTCAAACCTTGCTGTGTTCAGATGTGTGTGTGTCGGGAGGCAGTCAGCATAAAGCAGCTGGGCTCACTCATGGACACACTGTCAATTATCTGAATCACTAACTATTAACACTAATAATAATTCGCTGGATGATTTAATCCGCCAACCGTTTTTTTTCATAAATCATTACATCACATAATTATCAGAAAATAGTGAACATTTATTTCCCTTAACTCTCACATCAGAAAACCAGCAAACATTTATGTGGGGAATTTTGGTTGTTGACTATGTTTTGTCAAACAACTGATCGGTTAATCAATTAATTGTCTTTCCTCTTATTCCCACATCAACAGAAATGTGAAAATGGGAGTTTGGGTTTTACAATAGTTACTTAAAGCTCCTTATTTTTTTTGTTTGAAGCTTTGATCCATTTAAGAACCAAAAACCATCTCAATGTAGTTTTACACCTCCTCTCTCAGGCTTCTCTCTGGAGCTCTAGTAACAACAGGTCGGTGAGCCAATCAGAAGAGAGGAGGCTCTCAGCCTCTCTTCTGATTTGCTGACTGTTTTCTGAATGATCTAATAAAAATAAAGCAGATTTCAGGTAAACACTCAGAGAAACCAAATCCTGCAAAGTTGGATGGTGGGTCCAGGTGAGAGGGGCTTGGTGTATGGCTGAGAGTGGCGACTACTTTGTTGTGACATCACAAAGTTCCAGAAGTCCTGACGGCTGGTTTTAAGGCTCAGTTTCTGAATACAGGCTGTGTGCATTTCTCTGTGGACTGAGGCTTTGATACTTTCACAGTATTAATATAGAACCTAGACCTGATCTATAATCAAACAACACATGGACATCTACATTTATACCTATACTATATGGGGGGTCTCTTGCTCTCCAGTGGACTCCTCGCTGTTTCACTCTTTGCAGTAGTTGTGAGTGAGCTGATGATGTTGCTGTCACCTTCCAAAAGTCAGAGATCAAACTTCATCTCATTTCTCAGCTCCTGTGTGTTGTGTTGTTCATCAACCTTCAGCCATCCTCTGCACCAGGTCACCATCCGTCTATTATTCCTCTTCTTCTCTGCTTGTTGGGGGGGGGGGGTTCATTTCATGTAACCCCCCACCCTCCTTTGGCCCCTGGCCCTATTACAAATTTATAAAAGAAACATTATCTTGAATCATTCAATTCGGGGCAATTAAATTTTGAAATGTCCCATTCATAATTCATGGGTGTCTAAGATAAAACCCCTTAAATCCTTGAATATATTATTATAATGGGCACTGGGGTGGGCAGTGGGGAGCGAGGCATGTCCAGTATTGTTAGTACTCGCCGTGTCACTGCTGGGAGCAGGCCGCAGTCCTGGGACCAGCACTCCCAACTAATCCTGCCCTATGAATTATAAACTGCCATCCATATTAATATACAATGGTAGCAGCCACGGCCGGGCCCGGCTCACTGTGGGACAGCACCATTGTCATGCAAGTGTTTACTGGTGTCACTCTTGGGAAGGGAAGTGAAGGGGGGGGGGGTTAAAGTAAGGCCATTAGCATTTTAGGAGAGTGAGCGTGGAAGTGAAGGTGATGGACAGATAAGTACATTGTTTTCACGCTTGCTACCATCTGCTACTTCACTGCATCAGGACCCACACACTGACCTCAACACAAAGTGTCTGTATTGTTTAGATGCTTTCTACATCTGCATCACCACACTGTAGTCACACGTGTATAAGGTACTAATATAACCTCATCTGGCAGATGCACTTTTTAACTGTTTCATGATGCTTTTCGCTGATAAATGTGCAGCTATTGGAAGCTGATATATAATCAAATACTGTTGGAACCCGTGTTACAGCCACTGTTAGCTAAAAAGTATCTGAGAAAAAGTCAATGAGAAGTCACAATCTTATGAGATAAACTGTATTTTGAGAAAAAGGATTCATATCATGAGAACTGTCACAATATTGTGAAAAAAGTTCTAATAAAATCTAAGTCTTTCTAGTACAAAGAAAGTCGCAATTTTATGAGAAAAAGTTGTAATATATTTATATATATAAGTCCTAGAAAAAATCATGAAAAAGACTGCAAGAAAAAAAAAAGTTATTTAGCAACAAACTACAATGGAAAAAACTAGAATCACCTCGTGGTCGCTTGCCTCCGCCACTCAGACTAGTTTCAGGTTACATCCCTGTTTATTCAGTCACATAAAATATGAACCATTTGTGTGAAATTCTGTCATAATTGCTGTGTGAAATTGAGTAGTGGCTAAAAAGTGTTTTGTGAGGTCATACTGACCTTGACCTTTTACCACCAAAATCTAATCAGTTCATCCTTGAGTCCAAGTGAATGTTTGTGCCGAAGTTCCGTCAAGGCGTTACTGAAATATTGTGTCCCCGAGAGTGGGATGGACGGACAACCTGAAAACAATATGCCTCCTGCTCTGACTGTCACCGGCGCAGCTGCAGACCTCTAATCCATGATGCCATTTTCATCTGAACTCATCTCTAATAAATCCTTGTTCTCCAATTAAAACCATATTTCTGCTACATGTGTGTTTCCTGGCCACAGAGGAGAACTCCACTTTGACACTTTGTGTTCATCTGATTACATGTTTGTTCATTTACAGTTATTAACTAGCAAATTCTGAAAAGTGATGTCATTGTCTAACTAACTACATTTCTCTGAGCTAACTTTAACAGTTTCTTCATCCAAAACATCAACTTGTCTTCTAGACCCTATTCCAACTGTTCAAGGTTCAAGGTTTTTCCTTTAATCAGCACTTCTATATTAGATCTGATCACCTTATCTTTAACAGGTTATGTACTGCAGTTTTTTTAGGTTGTGATGATTAAACTTCTACTTAAAAAAGCCTACTCTTGATCCAAATGTTAGTTATGTGATTATTTGCATGGTTTGAATGGTTTGTTTGAAGATTTTTCATCATAGTACAGAAACAGCTCTGGATCTTACCATTTGACACCATCAATCACAAGGTTTTATAACAGACATCAAAACATGTTAGTGGGATTAAAGGAACATCACTAGGCTGATTTAAGTCTAATGTAGATAGATTTCAATTTGTTGATGTTAATAATGAACACACAGAAGTTAATCATGGAATTCCACAGGGTTCTGTGCTAGGACCCAGAACACTCTGCTCTCTAAATGTCTACTTTTGGTTCCTAGAGTTTCTATGAGTAGAATGGGAGGTAGAGCTTTCAGCTATCAGGCTCCTCTCCTGTGGAACCAGCTCCCAGTCTGGGTCCAGGAGGCAGACTCCCTCCCTTCATTTAAGATCAGGCTTCAAGCTGTCCTCTCTGATA